GGCAAAGGGGGGAAGAGACCCCCGGGGAAGGGAAAGGGGAAATGAAAGGGGAAAGGGAAAGGAAAGGAAAGGAAAGGAAAGGAAAGGAAAGGAAAGGAAAGGAAGAAGAAAAATGAAGAAAAAGAAAGAAAAAAGAGGAAGAAAGCAGAAAATGAGAAAGGAAGAAAAGAATGAGAAAAAAAAAGAAGCAAAAAGTTTGTGTCTGCTCTGAAAACAAATTTTTAAATGAATATCTGAGGAACAAATATTTTGAAATAATATAGGATAATTAGAAAGTAAAAATTTCTATATTAAAGGCTAGAAGGGGAAGTTATGTAACAATTATATAGCTTTCAGATAATGTCCTGCGTGACATAAACCAATAAAAAAAAAATTCCAAGCAGAACCCTGAACTTTAGCTCATGGTTTTTGGTGCAGAACCCTGGCAGCGGTAATGTAGAACCTACAGGCCTGTCCTGAGATGATAATGTGGGATAGCTAAGGCATTTCAGAGAGTACCAGAATTGCATTTATGGAAATGAATCCAGTGACAGGTTACCTCTGGGTAATTTCATTAGCCGATATACTGATTTCATTAGTTCAAGATCTCCAGCTGATCTCAACTTCAGAGATTTCAACTTCAAACTTTGCCTGTGTGCTGTGTCATGTGCAAAGCATGCTAGTGCAATAAATCAGAAGAGCATAAGCCAAATCTTCTTCAAGTCAAATACCTTCTCACCTAAATTTCAATAAACCCGATCAAAAACAACAGATTACAATGTTGGTGATATCACACCGTATTGTCACATCTGAGGAAAAAAGGAAGGCTCACCCAGCCAAGATTGGGTGTTTTAACTCCTCTAGTGCTAACTCCTCTAGTGTAAGCAGGGATCTTCATCACCTAATTGAAACTTGTATGAAGAATCATGCATTTTTCTTTATCTGTCTTTGATCATGTATTAGAGGAAATCAGTAGGATTAAACTAGAAGTAAAGGTATGCATTAAAGAACTGAAAGCACTATCACATAGTTATATGTGGTATCATGCATTTCTTCAAGGTGCAGAGTGACAAAGAAGGCTCTTTCCTTAGCAATGACAAGATAACAATAAGTAACACAGGACAATACCCAAAAGAAGGGAAAAAAAATCAGAATATAAAGCCTTCAATATTGCATATAAAACATTGACAACAAAGCCACGTACAAATCCACGTATAGTAGTACCTGTAGTATATGAGTGTTGTTTAATCCACCAGCTTTTAAGCTAGTAGAGCTAGTTTCTAGAATAGTAGAGTCAGTTAAAATGAAGTTTAAATCTTTATTTTGGTGAAATGAGTAACAGAAATGTTGCAGAATGGAGGAGGAGAGACTAGAAGGAGAGGAGAAATCTCAAAGAATGAAACCAAAGGAGGCTGCTAGAAGACAGGAAGTTAGGAAAGGGAAGTTTTATCTACCCTGGCTAGAAGGAATGCAAGACTGAAAGTGAACAGGAAAGCTACTGCATGAGAATGAGATGATAATGAACAACTACCCTAAGTAATAATATTTCCGGGAAAAGGGAGGGTAGTCAGGCATTCATAGATATGAAAAGATAAAGAAGTTAAAGGAATTATTGACATTAATGATAATATAAGAAACAAGTTTCAGCAGATAAGGTCAGACAATAGGACAAGCAAAGAGCTCAAGATAGCACATAATCTTTTTAAGAGATGAGATGTTTTTAACAATATAAAAGATCTAGAGAGAAAAAGGAAGGAGTCACTGCAAGTGTAATAGTGAAGGTGATTCATGCAATCTAAGAGTGAAAAAGGAAACAGAAAGGAAAAGAAAGAAGGTAAAATGAATGTTAAATGAATGAATGGTGTGGAAAATAAAGCAATGATTACCAAAAACTTTTTGCTCAGGATAGTATCTCTCAAGCCTGTCTGGCAAGATTTCAGGCTCTTCTTACAGACATGGAAAGGGGAATAAATGCCACTGTTTTTCTGAGGAGTTATCTCAATTCACTTGTGGTTCATACATTAAAAAAAAATCAGGAATGTAGTAGTGCCTTAAAAAGTGGGAATGCATTTAGCTGAATCTCACTTGGAGAAATAATTTTTTATTTGTTTGAAAGCTTGCAACAAGGTAATTCCACTGATCTCTGTGTTATAGCTCCAGTCAAATTCAGCTTAAGTCATGCAAATTTGAGCAATTAGCAAGTGAGCTAACTGGAGATGAAGTCTTTGCAGGTTAATGGAGAAATAAATAACAGGAAGACTATTATAAAGATTAGAGTTTAGTATCTGTAATCAGAATTTTTCTTGGAAATAAAAAAGGAGGAGATACAGAAAACTGCTGAATGGAAACAGCACTGAAAAGACATTTTGCAGACAAAAGCATGACAAAATGCTTGGGCATCTTTAATAAGTCCTATAAGGAAGACAGACACTGTAACCCAAAATGTTAAGATCAGCAAGACACAAATACAGCAACTTACTATATCATTCTGCTTTACGATGTCTTGAGCTACCCAGTTGATGCACAGAAGATGATGAATGCATCCAGCAAGACATAAGTATCACATGATGAGATGAGAACTTGAGCCTTTTGTTCACATGAAAGAGTGGATAGCTGAAGCTTTTTTGGGTCCCCAAAGCTCATTACATCTAACTGGGAGAAAATCATATTGAGAATAGAACCATCTATTTTCCAGATGTTACTCTGAGTTTTCTAAAGGCTAGAATCTCTTGTTATAATCATCTGTCCAAATCCAAAAATTATCAATGAGAATTATAGCATTCTCTTTAATTCAGAAAGTATGTTACATATAAGTAAAGCATCATAAGATTAATCTCATGATGTGTCCTTTATTATCCATCAGTTAAAAGCAGCAAATCCTCCAACACCAGATGGTTTAGATGAGTCCTGATGCAAGAATTAACTGATCTCAGTGAGTTCTTCAAGCATCTGTCTAGTCTCAGTGTAATGCAGTAAGACTATTTCTCTTTATGGTTCAAATAATCTGTGCAAATATAAAATCTTAGCATACAATAAAAAAAATCAGGAAAAACAATCTCAGTTTCTTCTGTCATATCATTTTTCAGAAAAGGTGGAACTTCATGAAAAGAAAGCAGTTTCAAGTGTTTCATAAAGAAAACTTCTGTATCATAGTTGTGATTCTCATTGAATAGTCAGAACTGGACATGTATGCACCAGTGAGTTCCACTTTTGGTAGAAAGAGTCTATTAAATAATGAATTTGAAAGCAGAAACTTAGATTTTTCAAGGGGCACTGCAATAAAAATTCCATCCTTACAGTCAGTGACACTATGTAGAATAAATAAATAAATAAATAAAAATAAAAAGCATTTGCTTGATTTTACTCACAAAGCTTTTTCTGGATCACTCAGTTTTGTCTCACCTTCACATTACTTGAAAATCACATGAGCAACTTCCTATTACCACAGTCATCTCTCATCTCTGTGATCTACCTAGCAGGTATTAATTAGAGGAATTATAATTTACTCTAAACATAAAGCACAACCTAGCACGTATTTTTTTTGGTGAATGCTTTGCAGCTCTTGTAATTATTCTCACTCATTCTACAGTGAGGGCTTAGTTTGTACCCAGAGATAACAAGTCTTTCTTTACTTCCAGAACTGCCTTCAAGAAAACAAGAACTCCACTTAAAATCTGGGGATCTGCCTACTGAAAGAAAGTGATTTTACTGGTGACATTATGTTTCCCAACAAGAATTTTGTTGTGTCTGTAGAGGCAGATTGGTACAGCAAAATTTGCTTCATCGAGATCTCAGCTCAGTGAAAACACTGTTGTTCTTGGTCTTAAAATAAGTAGTGTCATTTTCTCTTTGCAATGAATTCTTTCACCCAATCATATTCCTGTATGCAAATATACCATAGCTGGTACAGATAAAAAAGCACAAATAAAGCTAAAGGCTCAGTCAGGACAAAAATCACTGCACTTCTGTGGTACCTCATTTCACCTGTGTTTCAGGAAAGTTCCAACTTCTCAACTGAAAATATGAAGAAACAAGGTTCGGACAGCAATCCTGCTGCAGTTAATCCAGCCTTGCCAGAACCACTCAAAGATTTAAAAATTAAGTACACCAAGGTTAGTAACATTAAGTTAATAACATTTATTAACTTTTCTTTTACAGTCAGTTCAAAGTACAAGATGTGCTAGAGTAATTTTATTTGAGCCATAGAAGTAAAATTAAGTGTTGAAATTGTTTATTCAGATGGTTTCTGATATTGTATTTGTTAGTAATTAATGTTCTGTGATCCTTTTCCTAAGAATTTCAGGAAGTGTATAAGGGTGCCAGTAAATGTGTAAGTGTGATAGAATTGTTTCATGCTTTCTTGGTAAGGGGGTCTATTCCTCCCTGTTCCTCTCCCTCCTCCCCCTTCTCACCCCCCACCAAAACCAAAATAGTTTCTACAGTGAAAAGTTTCCTGGAAAGAACAGAGGGAACAAAGAAGGAGAAGTTTATATTATTTCTCAGAAAAATAAGACCAAATTAAAATGTTAAGGTACTGCAGTGTATTATAAGCAGATTTAAGCAATTATGCCACGTATGGTCATGTGGAAATGCATGTGTGAAAATGAACTAAAATTCATACCACTCACATATTTTTTTTTAGAGACAATTAATCTGGTTTTCAGCTTATGCACATAACTATCAATAAAAGAGATAAAGGCTAGCATTGCTAATTGTGCAATACTTTTATTATTATTTCCATATGTAGTTAATAATACACAGATGAAAAAGACTTGTTTGCAGTTTCAAAAGGCTCCTTACCTGTTTGATATCATAGTACAGAAATATCTGCAGGAACTTTGAACAAAATGTTGGCAAAAATATTGAAACTCTCTCCTCTGAAACTTTCCAGTGCAACATTGATCAGAAAGGACCTCTTCTCTTTAGAGAATTCTTGATTACAGATTTTTTTTCTTAATCATTACCAGTGCAAAGGAAATAATTTTTACCTTTCTAAAACCACTGCTTGCTTTCTTTTCCAAAAGCAAGGTGCTTAGGTGCTCTTCAACAATTACGTAGACTTTGAATTCTGTTCTATTCTATCATTTAATACCTTTAATGTAAAAACCTACCCTGATTTCAGTGCATACCCTTCCAGAATAAAGCATGCAGGACTTTAGTTTGTAAATATTTAACAGGCTGGGAAAGCAGTGGGGCACTCAATTCAGAGAGTATACTTTGATTCCTAGTAGACAGTGGTGTTTCAGCTCTTTGTTCATCTTCTAAAATTTCCAATAGAAAGCAGCTAATAAGAGCTAGTTGCCAACTCAGAAATCTGATGTCACTGAGCATGACAAATTGTAATAAACATTTCTATTCATCTAAAATATTTAGTAGACAAGAGTCTACTTCATTAATATCGGATATACCAAAGATAACTACAGGTTAGACAATGTGGCAGAAGTTTCCATAGTTTACATTAGGGAGAGCGTTACCTAGTAAAAAAAAAAAAAAAAAAAAAAAAAAAAGAGTTTGGGGGTTGTTTCATTTATTTGTTGTTGCCTTGATAGATAGCAGTTCCTTAAAAACTCCATTCCTTTGCAAAATGGCAACGTATTTGCAGAATTATGTTCCTAAAACTAATCAAATCAAACATACCCTTTCAAATGCTTTACTCGTGCAGTTATTTCCTGCTTTCTTCACTATTGTCTGAAAGCTGCAGAAGTGGGAGGGGGGTGGGGGAGAAGGTGGAGGAGGAGGAGGGGAGGAAGACAGGGAAAAGGCGTAATAGTAATTTCATCCCAACAGCAAAATATCCAGCAATCTTTCATCAATTCTTTTTATATGACCTTAGTATGGCTAGACTGACTTTCCAAGAGCCTTTCCACTCTGTAGCTTCCTACTTGCTGTGTTCCTCTCCTGCCCTCTCAGAGCTGGGGCAAGCTGTGGGGGTTTGCCTGGATAATTTTGCTGAACCATTCTGGGATCAAGACAGGTATTGTTAGCCGGTACTTATGCACTAACCCTGCTACCTGAAGCACCTTAAACATCAGGAGCTCCCTTACCTCCAGGATCTCAGCTCTTCTCCTTGTGTATAATGATACAATGCTAATTGCCATCACAAAAGTTTCTGGGGAAAAGTCTACATGAGATGTTCCAAGTACTTAGCTTAGGTTCTTTTAGTTTAAGTTTCTCCCTGCTTTAATTTCTACAAGAGAAGTAAGTTTGGGCCTTATATAAAATTATTTTAGTTAAATATTTCTGTACATTTGGGGGCAAGTAGGTTGATATAGCTATATTTCACGTCATGCCTTTCACATAGAGCATAAGAGTAAAAACACCTCAGAGAATCTGAATTTCAGGAATTGTATGTATTGTAGACAGTTAAATCAATTTGAATATGATCTTGAATTGTTTTGCTATCTGAATCTTCTTCAAAGATATTCTGATAAACTCAGAGAGTATTTCAGAATTTCACTATTTCAGTGTTGATGGCTGGCTACAAATGTACTAGCAAAAGGATTACTTAATCATCTGTGAGGAATTAGACCATAATTGTTTGAAAATTATTTCCGTCATGGTTCTCTTATTATAATAACATATATAATAAACCCTATCATGCTCCTTTAACCAAGGAATTCAAGCTCAGTTAAACATTAGTCTGTTAAACTGCATTTAAAGGAGAAAAAGCAGCATATTATTTTCTTATTGAGCTCTTTAGAGAACACCAAAAGGTATAGTAAACCACTTTAGGGGGAGAAAAGTGAAAGCCAAGTATCATATGTTGTAATCATAAGCAAAAATAAGAGGAGGACAGACAGGGCAAAAATAAGTAAAATATATGTGGTAAAGGCAATTAGTGATAAGTCTACTGTAGAAAAACTTACTTCTTTTAAACTCAGCTGACTCTGTATATCAAGCCACTAACTGACATACTAAAAATGTTAAATATATAATAATAGAAAGGATGGCCTTTCTGGTTGCTAGTCTAGTGCAGAAGTAAAATCTAATTGCTGCATTCAATAATAAAACACAGTTCTAAGGGGAAACAAAAGGCTGCCTTCACAGGAAATATTAATCAAAAATCAACTTCTTGAAAAGAAACACTTGAGAGACTTCACAGTAGGTATTTCATATTAGTATACAGGAAATATTTATTTAAGGATTGCAATTCCTTACCTTGAGAAGTTATAAAATAAATTCCATTGATTTTAATGGTACTGCTTAAAGAATATGCTGAGACTTAAGGGAACATATGGGAGAAGTAAATTGGAGCTTATAGTACCTGAAATGAATATGCTCTCGGCCTACAGATCTCCTTCACGTTTAAATGAAGTTCTAACTTTCACTGGCAGCATCAGATCTGAGAATAATTTTTGCAGGTTGTAAGAGAAGGTGTGAATAGGCACCAACTTTTTTCAGCTTTGTGCTTCATCTCACCTGAGCAATGCCGAACTCAATAGCCCAGCCCCAGTGCACCTTTCCTATTCCTGGCTTTTAAAAAAGCTGGCAGTTTAGCTTCCTGGTGCACCATCTGTGCTAGGAAGCTGGTGACTGGAGTCAGATAAACAGCTTGCTGAAACTGAGTGATTCTGAGTCTACTGAGTCTACATATAACAGACCGCTGGATACATTTGAAAAGTGTTGTTTAAAAAAAAAAAAAAAAAAAACACCTTTATCAAGCTTTATCAGGCCAGAGTTGTAGGCGTCCAGGTGGCAGGTTCATAGGGGTAGCTAAAGACGAGATAGATTAGACATATCCTTTCTCATCTATAAAACCACCTTAAGGTCAGCTTGAATTGTCCACATTTTTGATGGTTATTTTACTTTTTTTGGACTAGATTTCTGCCATATGGTTTATACAGTATAATAGAAACATTATAATAAAAAATCTTTTCTGATGAAAAATAAATTTATAAACAGATCTGAATATGGGCATATGTATAAAATCTTTCCAGCATCAGAAATGAAATATTTTCTCCAGGATGCAAAACTATCTAAAACTTCTAAATTACTTCTACAGAAGCACTGAGCCCTGCAAGTCCTGTACAGAATTTGCACAATAGGGAGCCCCAAAAAGGGGATCTTTAAGCTCTGAGAGATACTGTAATGAGCTGTGCTCATTACAGGGGCAGGCACCCAGGGCAGAGTTCTGAAATCCTTCCCAGAAGAGCTACAGCTTGCTGCACCTGAGAAAAAGCTGTCCCAAAGCAAACGCTTTCTTTATGCAACAAGGACACAAATATCACATTTTCTAGCTAACACACACTTTGCAAAATGATTCCATTGTCTTTGCCGCGTACATAAGGCCTGAAGGGAGGAAAAAACAAACCCACTGTGTTGATAAATAAAAGCAAAAAACAGATCTTGTCTCATGGTTCTCTGCTCAGATCACATGACTGACCAAATCAACTGTCTAAACAGAGATAGAAACACTTTAGTCATCCAGATAAGTTAAGCCTCAAATGACAGAAGCTCTGTATTTGACTATGTGAATTGAAATCAATCAGTTCAGAGAGTCAAGATTTAATTATACTCTGATACTAGAAAACTAATCAAAGGCATTTTGACTGCAATAGTCCATTACTTGGGCTTAATTTTAAATATAAAGTTCTAATAGTCCAGAATCTTCTATATCAAAAGTTGATTTCCACATCTAGTGCTGAAAAGGATAAAATTTAAAAAATCTTAAATTTGTTTTTTCTTAAAGATGCTGGTGAATTAGCGGTTACAAAATGCATGCTACAGTATTTCTGAGATATCAATCCATGCAACATAAGCTTGCAGTCCTAAGCTACATGGTTACATTTGGTTACTGTAGACAACCCCCTGGACAACATGTGCAAGAAAAATGTGCGTCTTTTGCACTTATATGTACCAAAAAAAAAAAAAAAGAAAAGAAAACAAAAGAAAAAGAATTTTGCTGCCAAAGTTCTGCCTGACAGAAAACATACTGCAACATATTGCAAGATGATCCCAAATGCTTTCTTCAGCAAGGCAAAAGAGTAGCCAGACTTCTTTTGGACATCAGCGCTCCCTGGATTTAGAAATCTACATCCTGTTTGTTTGCAGCACATATATCTCAGTGTTGAATGAGCAGGTCTTCTCACACACCTGGGTGTACAGCTGCCTGATATACATGTAATAATGCTTACTTGGAAAGTTTAGACTTTTTCTTTCTCTTCTTTGTCTTTCATACCTGCTTAAGGAAGACTGATTTAGAGAAGACATCTGGAGAGTTTGATTTATACAGTTATGATACAAAGTTTTGCACATATTTAATGTAACAAAGTTTATTCTTTTTTTAAAAGGGAATGGTATTAGAAGCATTAATAAGAAAGATAATATAAAGTAATATCATGAGTGATATTAGTTGGTGCCATAAATGCAGTATTTAAACAAATACTTTCAAAATTTCCAAAAATGGTATGTTTTACTATTATTCCTTCCACAGACAGATATGAATTTGGCATACTGTAACATCATAGCAGTGTTATGTTAATATTTACCTTTTACTTTGTCTCTTTTCTTGGCAATGCAGATAGTTACTAAAGATGGCTTTTTTCATATTAACTACTTAATTGCTGTCTTTACATTTTCATAACAACCAGAATTTTATGTGAATATTCCTGAAATGCGTAGGGACTTATATTTCCCTTATTTTTCTTATAGCATTTCATAAGTTATAAGTTTGCTGGTCAGCCCATGTAGCTATATGAACAAACTCAATCATGCAAGAATACAATAATAGCAAATTGTTACCATATCTATTCAGAGAGAAATAATTTTATTGGCCTTGACAGTTTATTACCAAGTTATTCACCAATTATTAATAACTGCCAAGAGTGTCAGTGTAAGTAATTCAATGCTATGCAACAAATCTATTCCCTGAAATGTTTCCTGTTTTCATAACATATAGGGTTGTAGTGGCTGTGTTGAAATTGCAGTTCCATGTGATAAAATGCATTTATTCTATAGCCACGTGCTTTGCTTCTTTCTGCCATCCTCTGAATCAAGCATTATTTGTTTTAATTGGCCTGCCTCAAAGCATTTCCTGGTTCTCTACATAAATGTAGAAAATCCTGTCGTTATGAGCAGCAGTAGCATTTTATCTTGATGGGGAAGAAATGAGAATGGTACCTTTTCTACTAATAGATCTTCCTTTGATATGTGGTTATTAAACAGTAGGTCAAGATGGTAGTTTTCAACCATAATCCAAAAGATAGGCATGATCTGAGAATAGCTATCTTTGTAGCAGTGATGGGACAGTCAGAGCCTTGGGATTGCTCAGAGAGGTGATCCCATTTCAACACTGACCACAACCTGGAGAGCATTGGGAGGATACAACACAGGGCAATCACTTCTGGCAATACCAGACTGTACACATACTGTCCACTCTAAGAAGCAACCTACACAGCACCAAAACATGCACATGCAATTCCTCTGTGCAGTGTTGAGGTGTTTCCACTGAGGTTTTCCCTTCTCTCTCAAGCCAGCTTATAGACTTAGAAAGAAAATTAACTCTTCCATAATTATACCAGTAGTGTTCCAAAGCTGGAAGTCTTTAGGGTAGCACAGATCTAGCACACATAGTAATCAGGCCTAGATTCCATTTTGAATTTATAAATAGAGCTATGTGTGTTAAATTTCACCCAGAAATTCTTGACCTTCACCTTGCTATTGTCTTCTAAATTTTCACAACTTTGTTTTATTATATAATATCTCAGAGATTGCAACTAAGGAATATTTTTAATAGATCTATTCATTTTCTACTGTCTAGCAATTTGAAATCAGTTCATTTTGCTTCATCCTCAATATGATGAAAGAGAAACTTCCACAACATTATTATCTATTTATAAAAGTACTAAATAAATGTTTTAGAAGTCACCATCTTTACGATAGTGTGGAAGATAACATACTTTTCTCTATAGAATCAAAAAAATCAGTAATAATTTCTGTGGTTTATTTACTTTTTTTTTTTTTTAGTTTAGAAGCAGATTAATTTATACAGATTGCATCAGCTGTCATATCATCTAGGCAGGACTTGTCAGTAATCACAAACCTACAAAAATACAAGACTTTTTACTCTGGAAGCACTCTTTTTGTGTAGTTTTAAATGATCTACTGCAAAACTGAAATAAGAATGCCAGGTGTTGGAGGAGAAAAAAAGAGCAATACTAAACATACAAAATAAGAGCCAAAGACACCAGAATGGTTTTTGTGCTGTCTTTCATTGTCTTCACTTGGTCTTCACTGTCTTTCACTGATTTCACTTAGGCTTGTACAATACGACTACTTAACCATTTCTTCTACTCCAATAACCCATTCATCAATTATTTATCATCATATTAAAGGGTCTAGATTTGAATTTCTAATACTATTATACCGTGAAAGGCTTTGGATCATAATAGTCCAAAATGGGAAACCATAATTCCCATCTTTTCTTTTTTTTTTGTTTTTCTTATATGTGTGCCAGCAGTGTTTCAGTCAAGCTATGATGCTGTTTGTTCCAGCCATGCAAAGTAATTTTGGTACACATCATGCTTTCCGCCTGCATAAAAACTTAATCTTTGAATAAGGATACAATTCCTAGCAGCTATTAAACAAGTTCTGGATATCAGTTTCATTGCTGCTGGGTAAGCTGTTATGATTAACTTTGATGTGTGTCAGCCACTGTACAGTTGTTGAGTCTATATTTTCATTGCCAGCTAATAATATAGAAGTTTAGTTTGGTCCTTTGCTAAAAGCCTGAAACAGATCGATACTACACAAAAAGAATGCTCTAACAAGATTGAAGAAAGCATAGCTTCTTGTGTGTAACGTTATTAGACTTACTCCCATCCCTGCCACGTAGAAGTCATGAGAAAACCTCACAAAAATGAGAAAAGTATGGTTGATTCCTGGAATAAGGTTGTTCAACTTAATGGCAACAGTTTAGACAAAAGGGCCAGGGAAGAGAAGGGAAGTTCAAAAGCAGTTGTGTCTCCTGGGGAAAATCAGTGCAGAGACATAACAGAGGTCCTCAGAACTGGAGTGAAGTACGAAACACTGTCAAGCTGGACACAAGTATTATTAATTTGCTGTGATGCCTCCAGCAGTTCCAATATCCTGACTGGTAGTATCAGTCAGAATAATGGGTATATTTGCACCCTATCGTTATTTACTGAATTGGAGACAGGAAACCTGAGCTGATACGAGGCAGAAAAAATTTGGAGCTTGTGAAAATTAAACTGGAGATAATTGGATTATTGATGGAAATTACCAAATAAGTACTGAATAGCAACAGATCATTGTGACTGGCTTAAAGAGAAGAGAGCCATAGTGCCTGTGCAGTAATGACAGCTAAAAAAAAAAATCACACAAGAACAATCTTGTCCAAAGTTCAAGTCTTATAATATAAGTAGCTAATTTTCCAAAGGCAGGATGTCCGCTGAAGAGTAAGGAGGAAGAGGTTTGAATTCTTGATATGTTTGAGAGAAAAGCTGAGGCAGGGAGAAGAGAGAGAAGAGCTGCCCATAAACATGATCATCCGTTTCAGACCTGCCCAGCAGTGCAGGGACATTAATGCCAGCAACAGCTTTTGCTGGATGTTCATGTGAATACACCCACACAGGATGTGAAAGTTTATGGTGATGTGATTACAGACTCACATCTTTCATATAACATCTGTGATGAGAAAATGGTCAGGTCAAGCTCCTGCTAGTATTCTTCCCAAAAGAGTAGAAAATAGCATCTTAATATATGATCAGAGATCATGGTGTTTCTCGTACATTTTCAGCTAGGAACTGTTTAGCTGTTTTAGATTATATCTATAGGTGGGTGAAACTATTACCCTTTACTCAAAAGCCACATTTGAAAGTCCCCTTTTCATGACCTTTTAGACTTTTTTAGCTTCACTAGCATGAATACTGAATACGCAACAGTTATGGTCTTTTAAATACCATACGATTATGATCACATACAGCGAGTAACTAATGCACAAACAGAAAAAAATTTGATGAAAAATAATCAGCCTCATAATCTCTCATTATTTTATTCCTGTAACATGGAAATAGACAAGTAACAGACAACTTTGACTGATGTTGTATTTTATTTAAGTTGTTCTCTTTATTTCATTCAATGGACTGTGATTTTTTTCCATCACCTTCATTTCTGACAAATCTGCTACTATTTACTCTTAGAATTGCATATTTCCTTCCCTTCCCTTCCTTCTTTCTTTCTTTCTTTCCTTCTTTCTTTCTAATGAAAAAAGTTGACGAAAAGTTGGCTAAAATGTAATTCTGTAAAGATACTGTAGGAACTACATGTACTAAACCCAACTGTTTGTTTTATTTCTGTAGGGACACAGTTATTCGTGTGCAAAGAGTACACAGTTACTGAAACTTTGAGCATAGGAAAGATGGGTAATTTTAAGTAGGTCACTTAGGACTACATCTTCCCTGCACTTAACTAACTGTTGTTTGACAGAGGAAGGACCCCTATTAACTAATATCTTTGTAATATGAAAGAAAGTGAAAATATCTTGTGGAGAAAGAAAGTGGTTTGTCTCTGTAGGAAGTTAATTTTAAAAAGCCATTCTTGGTTAACTGGCAACCTCAGAACTGATTCCTTCAGAATAATGTAAATAGCTATTCCATTTTGCATTCCATTGCCAACCAGAAAACTTTCAATTATGAACAATAGATTTAGTAATTAAAATTAGTAAAGGAGGACTAATTAGTAATTAGTAGCATGTCTACTAATTTAGTAAAATGTTACTAAAATTAGTAATAGAGAACGTACTCTAGTAATAGAGGACATGTTACTAATAACATTGTATTATTTTTATCCTTTACAGATTTTTATAAACAATGAGTGGCATGACTCAGTCAGTGGTAAAAAATTTGCAGTCTATAACCCTGCAACTGAAGAGAAAATCTGTGATATTGAAGAAGGTGACAAGGTGAGGTCTCTTTTATCTTTTTAACTTAAAAGTAGGAAGACATCTTTCTTTGCTCATGAATCATACTTCCTTGGGTGGAGATATAACCATTTTTTCCTAGGTTCTACAGGCATAAAATTAATGTTTTATGTAAAATATAAAACCGATTTACATGTAGGACCTTACACATCTGAAGAAAATTATGAAGAAAACTGTGAGATCTATTGATCAGTGCATTTTGTCATATTACTGTCATTTTAGCTATTTTTTCACCTGTCTTTCTAAAGTAGTAATGTAATCTATACATAACACATGTAAGGCATTTCATTACCAAAAGTGGACAAACCATAGTGTTTTCCTACATATGCAAGTCTGAGAAAAAGTTAATGGGAACATTACTATCCACATTTTCAGCTGTAAATTTGTGTCTTCTCACTACTGTCCCCTTCAACAAGGTATTTTTCCAAAAAGATTATTGGAACATAGTGCCTCTAAAAATGAACGCTGCCTGATTGCACATTGAACTAACATATTTGGGAAGAGAGCTAAAAATATTGTTGACAGCTGTAAGCAACCATTCATTCTGGCATATATGAAATTTCATAGTGCAAAATTAAAGATAAACACAGCCTCACAGAATCACAGAATGCTTAAGGTTGGAAGGGACCTCTAGAAATCGTCTAGTCCAACCTCCCTGCTCCAGCAGGGACACCCAGAGCACGTGGCACAGCGCAGCATCCAGGCAGGTTTGGAAGATCTCCAGAGAAGGATACTCCACAACCTCTCTGGGCAGCCTGTTCCAGTGCTCTGTCACCCTCACTGTTAAGAAACTTTTCCTTAAGTTCCTGTGGAACTTTTGGTGCTTCAGTTTCCGGCCATTTCCTCTAGTCCTATCAGTGGCCACCACTGAGAAGAGACCATCCCCGTCCTCTGCACTCCCTCCCTTGACGTACTTATAGACACTGATTAGATCCCCTCTCAGCCTTCTCTTTTCCAGGCTGAACAGGCCCAGCTCCCTCAGCCTCTCCTCATAGGGCAGATGTTCCAGGCCCCTGATCATCTTCGTAGCCCTGCACTGGACTCTCTCCAGCAGCTCCACATCCCTCTTATACTGTGGAGCCCAGAACTGGACACAATACCCCAGATGCGGCCTCACCAGGGCTGAGTAGAGGGGCAGGATCACCTCCCTCGAATGTTCCACATGAATGTTCCTAACTAAGAGATGGTCCCACACCTTGATCAATACAGATAAACATACTTTAATCAAGGCTGTAATGAAAAGCTAAACACTCAAATAAGCAGCTATGTATTTTCATAATTATAGGTAAATTTCATTTGAAAAGTGTTTGCTTAGTGGTACTATATAATTTAAATGCGTGTTATCAAGAAAGGTTTCATTGTTTAAAAAGAACAGACACTGCAACTTAAACAGTTTCAAAACTGATGACCAAAGACATTTTCTGGATAAACTCTGAGAAAGTAAGTCTGAGAAGAGAGTGTTCTTTTTCTAGTTGACAGCTATAAAAACTGCTAGCTTGACTTGATAATAATATTGGTTTTATAATTAATGTTTTTGTTCATGCAAATATTTATTTGCTTTTCTATACTTTCCCACCATGGATAAATTGTCATGTCCAGAAGCCAGAAAATGTGCTCATATTTCTCACAAAATGACACTCAATTTGTTTTCAATTGGGCTCTTTTTTGACCAAGAAATCTGCATACTGAGAAGGATTTATTTAAAGAATCTGTTTTATATTTAGCAGCAAAATGGTTTAATGGTAAACCTCTTCTTAACCGTGAGAACTATTATGAAGTCTATAAGCACTACATCTACTTTACCAGTTTACTGAGAAAATTTATTGCTAATACAACAAAGTCTCTTTCACAATATTCTAATTTCATGTAAGAAGATTTTCCCTGAAATATTTTTTTTGAGTAATTCAACTTTCACTGCCCCAACTGAATCTCAATTACTTGATACTATAATTTCATCATGGATCTTCTGATAAACTTTGGCCCAAATCCTATCTGTCAACAGAGATTATGCATGCTGTCAGTATTAAGAAAGTCATAATGAAGACTTTTTAAAAAACTTTCTGTTCTTCAGAAGATGAATAAAAAAGTGCATAAATCTGTCTTTCTATAACCTCAAATATCTGCAAGTGAATCTTGAAATGTCTCATTCTTGATTTTCTTTAGTTCTTGCTATCTTTGTCTAGAGATCGGTCTCACCAAGACTGTTTCAGACTCTTTCTGCCTTCAGACAAGGACTTGTTAAGCATGTTGTTAAATACTGAGTTATATCACGCTAGCATCATATCTGTTTTTCATGTAAAATATTACCCCTTCTACCTTTTCTCAGTTCAGTCTTTGAAAATCAAATTACACTGCAAATCAGATTGCCTTGATATTTGATCATCCTTAAATTAAATTACTCATGACCTGCAACTGTTCACTTAACATTCAGGACTCTTGCAGCTTTCATTCTTTACAAGCAATCTAACAACTCGTTAAATAAAGAGATAATACTGTTCGACACACAGGTTTCCTTTCTCTCCAATAATTTTGCAAACTAATGTGTAATGACAACCGCTATTAACTAAATTGCCAAGTGAAATGTACAAATCTAGTAAATTACGCAGTCATTGTGAACTTAATATTCTAGAGCCTATTCTTTAGATAATGAGCCAAGAGATTTTAGGAATTTAATTTGTGTGTACAATAGAGGTGACAAAAGGCGGTACACTGCCTTGCAGTGGTATTTAAAAAAAACAAGTGGAGATTACAAAGCACAGACACATATGTGGGTGGGAACTGTTTTCCTTTCAGGTTGATGACTCTTTCAAGCTACATTCACTAATCCTCTAGGCTTCTGCTAATAATAAAGGAGGGCTACACTTAGTTAACAAATAGTCAATAGGATGTAAAGTAAAAAAATCTATAGAAATATATTAAAATGTCTAGCTCTGCAAGGCATTATCAGTCTCAATTCTGTCAGTGTAGATTTATATATAAAATTTAATTTTATATAGTTGAAGAAAAATTCTTTGCTTACTTTAGGTTCACAGCATTTAATTAATTTTAAATATTTTTCCTTGATTTTTCATTATTCCTACCTGTACAGAAAGAAAATGTGACAGTATTCACAAAAGTATAACTTCTCAGCTTGTTCTTTCTTTCACTACTTATAAATGGCAAATGTTACAGGCCAAGTTATACTCACAAGCTGTTATATTGAAAATCTTTAGAATATTGACAATGGTTAAGTATAAGAAAAATAAAAGTAATTTGAAAATAATTGTTATGTCTGGACCACAGATAAGTGATAAGTTATTTGATGAAACTCTGAGAGTTCAAAAGACTAGCAATCCTTAATCTGGTTGGTTTCATAAGTGACTGGAAAGAACTACTGTATAATAATGAATAAGCTGATGGATCCGTCTGATCCATCCTTTCCCAGATTTCCTGCCTTTACAAGCAAAAAAAGTTCTGGAGGATCTCCTGCCTTTCAGATATGTGCTGGCGTGGGATTTTCCAAGGCAAGATAAGCAGCTTTTTTTTCTTCCTTAGGAAGAATTAATTATTGGTTATCAACATCAGTTAAAAGTGGTAGTAATGATTCACATTTAAAAACAATGGACTTAGTCAAATTTGATGACTTAGTCCATCTTGACAGTGATTTACATAGAGGGGACTCCAGCAACCAGCAATACAAAAAAGTTCCAAAGAAATCCTTTAAAGAATGCACACAAATAGAAATCTTGAATTCATGAGTATATGTCTATATATAAGTTTTGTTGCTACTCCTTCAATAATTCCAATTGGCATCTGGAACTGAATGAAAAATTCTGGAATAGTAACACAAATTATCTGTTGGAAGAAGGAACTGGGGTGGAGGTAAAATTCCTATCCTTATCAGCTTCTGTGCCATGAATATATCTGCCCTTTTTTTTTTTTTTTCCTTTAAATTTGCTTTAACATGTAATAAAAGACTAGAATAAACCTCTTATTTTGTTTCACTAGGAAAACTTTACAAGATTTAAAAAATACAGAAAGTTTCGAAGTATTGAAAGATTTTTTTCAGGAGATTTTTAGTTGAATTTTATGTCCTGCAGAACCCTCACATACAAAAAAGTTTCAAATAATTTATTATATGTTTCTTCAGTATAGCAAAAGTAAAGTAAAAAATATAAATTGTGTTATAGAAACATTCATAGTCTAAAAAGTTAACTTGCTTAATGCAAGGACGATGTTCAAAATGCTTAGACCCAGCATTTTAAACCTGGTCATCTAGTTAATTTCTCACATTACTTTAAATACTTATTTTCCTTAATGTCTTCAAATGCAAATGCAAATCCCAATAATAAAATCATGTTCATGTTACAAAGCATTTTAAGCAATAGATTTTTCTAAACTATTCTTCATCACACCGGTAGATATTTTTAGATTATTTTGCGTTTCTAAAAATTTCTTTGTATGTGAAAGAATTTAAATTGCATGAGCAATGCTGCTTATAGGTACATCCCCAATTATGGATACTAAAAGGTGGACGGATTTGAAAAAAATAAACCTAAAAATAACGTTCTTTAATATGTTTTTATTTTAGGAGCTTTGAGCACCCATCTGTTTCTCATACAACTTCACGTTGCTGAAATGGCAGCACAAATCTTTAAAAGGAAAAGAAAAATATGCATCTAGTTTACTACTACAAATTTATTATACTGATTTTGATTAGATTATTTTTTCAGTGGGATGATTGTCTCTTTATTATTCTGCAAAATATTTTGCATGATTAAGAACTAGGCGACAAAATCAATCATTGATCATAAAAGTTTCTCTCTTTTGCCTACAGGCAGATGTAGACAAGGCTGTTCAAGCAGCCAGAAAGGCTTTTGAACTTGGTTCACCCTGGCGAACGATGGATGCTTCAGAACGAGGAAGGCTCTTGAATAAACTAGCTGATTTAATTGAAAGAGACAGGCTAATTCTTGCAGTAAGTATAATATGTGAACAAAGAGGGGAAAAAAAAAGAAAAAGTGCCCTAAATTTTAAAAAAAGAAGGTATCAACAAGGGTAACATGCTACTCCTTGGGAAATCAGGCACTCTCAGTACTTGGTTTTGCTCTGTATTGCAAATGGATCTCATTAAAAGAGCTTTCAGTCTGGTTCCCTAGGCTTCCAAATCAACAAAGTACTTAAATATTTGATCAGCTTTAAGAGAATGCTTAAGCCCCCAACAATCAATGCAGTTTTAACTGTTAATTGTTAAAGACACATTAACATTCAACATGGGCTTAATGCTTGGCAAAATCAAGACCTGACTCAAGAGCCAAATCTCAGCTTTGGACCTTGGCTCAAAGGTCTTAAACTTACAGAAGAAACAAGTCAACACCAGAAAAAATCTTGAATTCATGACATACATACGTACATACATATATATGTTTGTTTTATTGCTACTCCTTCAGTAATTCCAGTTTGCACCTGAATGAATGAAAAAATTCAGAATCAAAAGTAACACAAATTATCTGTTAGAAGAAGGAACACTGGGGTGGAGGTAATTTTCCTATCCTTGTCAGCTCCTGTCTGCTGGCACATCCATTTTACAACTCTTAACAGCAGCACCACTTGCTATCCGTGCACAAATATAGCAATATTTAAAGTAGAAATTCACTAGTTGTTTGGTAAACTGTTCTATCTTGCATGTTTTAAACATGCAAATTTGATGCCGTTATTGAGATGACTTCTTTTCTATTTCAAGCACCTTCTGTCTTGACAACAATGCTCTCTATGAACAGAGTCAAAAATTTAAGAAACATAAAGGCCTTTGAACATTCAGGATTATCACTTTGACTAACTTAATCACAATTAAAAGTATTTAGCCGTTTGCCTCCAACAGCACCAACAATAAGCTAGTAAAACTTAAATCTACAAAATACATAAATTCTGCAAAATAATCTATTGTCTATAATTTCCTTCTGATTCAAACCCACAGATACTTGCATTGGAATTGAGGTTATTTCCTCCAAAATTCAAAGTTTGCAACCATTAGCTTTACACTTTTTTTCCTAAATTATTGCTGCCCATTTGATCTGACATGATAATTAAGCTTCTTAGGAGAAAACTGAGGTGGCTATCCTCGTGTCTTTAATAATTAGGCATATTGGAACTGAGAGAGATTAAATTTTAAGGGAGTTGCACTTTTGGTAGGAAAAAAAGTATACTTGCTTGTCAGCTAAATATGTCCTAAGCTGGTATTTTCTTCCTTGTCACACATACTGCATTTGAAAAGAGGACAGAGGAATAATCTTTCTTCCTCAAGGAAGAAAGTAGTCAGTTTTTGTTCTTATTTGTCATTTTTATAGTAGCAAAGTACACCTGCCATCTGAGTCCTATCCCTGGTTTCTATTTTACTGACTTTGTTTTTATTTCTCACACCTTCAGTACTTAATACTTATTGGCTACTTTTCCCTTTTAGATAAGATGTGTTTGAATGAAGTACTTTCCAGAATGAAGTCCTTTCCAGACTTTCAGAGTTAGCCAAAGAGATTTACTCCACTCACAGACAATCCAACAAACTTCAGAGCCAATGGAGACAGAATAAAAATCAACATTGTAACCCCTAGAGATCAAGCTTGACCCCCAAACTTCATTGAAAAAACATTTTCACAAGTTTGTTCACCTGGCCAATATTAAAAATATTACATTTTGTTAATTCGTACAATGATAAGATGCCCCTCCCAAAAGCCTCAGAGGCTGAACAGTCTTGCAGGTAGACTACAGGAAGACGAAATATAAGTAGAGTTTTCAAAGATTTTTGTTTCTAAGGTTTCACTGTGTTGTTCAAAGTTCATAAGTCTAGGGCCATAGAAAAAATTTCTCCTATGGCCAAAGAGAATGAAAACAATCGGATTACCTGGATTTACCACCTTGAGTGGCAAGGGTATATTTCATTTGATTTGATTTTGGTTCCTTGCTACTGAAAACCATCAAGCATTGCTGGCGTCTCCATTTGATCTCTTCTTTTCCTGCAGTCCCTTTCACTTAACCAAAATTATGGACAATTCAGAGAATATTTAAGTCAGGACAGGATCTTTGCAATATCAGACTATAGGCTCAGCTGAAACATTAAGAAGCCTTAGCTATACGAAATACTAAACTTCAAAAGAAAGTAACTTTCCAATATTTGAGTAGGTCTCGGAACTACAAGTGGGGATTTTCTTGTCAAGCATCCTCACAGCCTTGTCCACAAAACTGAATGTCTCCAGTGCTTCTGTGCTTGGAAAATATGGAACAAAACTGAATGAAAAAGATATAGATGGATATTTGATGATTATTATTCTACTGGTTAATGTTTAAAATATATTGAAAGATGGCTTCATATTGTCTAGTTAGTTCACTTAATTATAAGCTAACCAATAAGAAGAGTATCTTCTTATAAATGTTTATTTTTCATGCTATCTTACACTCCCTTAAAGTTTATTGATGGCTCAGTTCTTTCCTCTTCTCATTTAGAAACTCAAGGTTTATTCTGGAATAAGTAATGCTTTGGGTCTTCTTGTTTACCACTTATGCATTCATCAGGCACCCTTGATAATTAAAAGCCACAGCAACTTAAATGTGATAGTCCTTGCAGGAAGCTACTATCTGCCTTAGATGTCAGAGCAAAAAGTGCATAGAGTGATGGTGGCCAATCATTTTATTTGCACTTGTAGCATATTTAGATTAAATCAGATAAGTTTCTCTGATTCATCTGGGAAAAATTTAATGTTTTCAGGACCTCTTATCATTTCAACTGTACCATGACCAAATTATATGCACAGATTGCTGATAGTAAACCTTTAAGAAAATATCCCATTTGTAAGGAAGTTGCCCACCTGGATTTTTTCAAAAGTTAACCCTTCTTTAGAGGAGAATTAATGTTTCAGATTATTGTAGCAAAGACGAAGTACTGAACAACTGAAAGTCAAATGATGAATTACTGATGTAAGAATCAATATTATAATTAAGAATCAATAATATCAATATTTGATATTGACATCTCAATTATTGTTTTCTGCAGACAATGGAAACTATTGATGGTGGAAAACTGTTTTCCACTGCCTACCTAATGGATTTAGGTGCCTGTGTTAAGTCATTGCGCTACTGTGCAGGATGGGCTGATAAAAACCATGGTCGTACTATACCAATGGGTAAGTAATTTTGAGAAAACAAAATACAAAACTGAAGCCATATGATCATTTTTTAAGAAAAAAAAATCTTTCTAAAAATGGTGCCATGAAAAAAGATATTAAAAGTAGAATATTTTTGACAGATTTAAGTATATATTAACTGAAGTTATCATATTGTTCTTTTTACATATTTAATAAAATTATTCAGATTTATTTATTTTATAGATACACCTCTAATAAGTGATGACAAGAAAGGTGTTAACCTGCAGGTTAGGAAGCTCTAATAGATCCCTTCTGCCTAGCAAAGTAAAGCTTATATGATGGTATAATACTGTAAGCCAGGTATTTGATCCTTAACGATAAGATTAGCATAAATAATATTTGATTCACTTATCAGATAATGTATTACGAAGAGTTCAACAGATAGAAATGAAGGAACGTTCCCTTATTTTGCTGAAATTCCTTTCTGTTCCCTTTTCCCATTAAATAGCTCTATGAAAACATTGTGTCTAACTGTCTTCTCTCGGGAAGTAAAAGAAAAAAAAAAGAATGGTAATAAAGAAGGAATTAAGAAAAACTACAGTGATAAATACTTCCAACTTTTTGCAACACACAGATCCCTAGACTAGGCTTAATGGAACACATGTTCATTTGAAACAAAGAGACTTAATGGATTTGATTTAAGCTAAGATCTAATATTAAAAAATGTCTGATATGTATCTAGGATTGCGAGTGGCTTTTTAAAAAGCACTTTCCAAAAAGAAGTTGATAGAAGGAAAAAGAAACAAAGAATGCTCATTGGTGAACGTGCATACCATATTGAGTATCAGAGTTATCATTGCAGCAAGTCAGTCAGATTGACAGAATCAAACCTTGAAGCTATGAGGAAAGTAGAGATTGAATCCAGATGTGTTTTTGGTTGTTGTTGCATAGTTAAAATTTTGAAAATGTCACTTATAAGTAAAAATAGTATGTTATGCAGCTAAGATTGGAATCCAATTTTATCTTCTTTCTTATTTAACTGTTTCTCCCAAGTGTTTTGTCTCAATGGGTGATTTATTTCTCTCCCTCTAGATGGAAACTTTTTTACATTTACAAGACATGAGCCCGTTGGTGTTTGTGGCCAAATTATTCCTGTAAGTTGGAGGCATTTATCAAATCAAATATTCCTATTGTAAATAGACTTGTTTTTGAAATTTTGTCCATGCAAATGGATGTATGAAACATTACCAGTCAGAACTTCTCTGGTCTTATAAATTAGTGACTATCTTGAGTATTCCACAAAATCTGTTAAGTGACATTTAAAAAAATGCTCACCTGTCTACCTTTGCTTCTCTCTTCCCTATATACATGAAATAAAATGTATATATCTCAAAAGATTGACATATAGAGGCAGGTAAATGTCCCACTGGAACTGAAAAATTTAGGAATAAACTTATAGGCAAGGTGAATATTTACAGTGTGCAAGCAACATACGATTTTTGGGGGATGGAATGTCTCCAATTCTGTTTTGTACAGCACCTAGACCACTGAAATCTCTTTTTTTAATGACTAAAATTCATACATCTTGTTGATGGTACAAGTAGCAACACAAAGAATGCATCCGATCATCTTGATGATTCTGAGTTCTCAAGCTCCCATTTGACAGTTAAAATTCTCAGATTTACTGGATCTAACTGGAGTCAAAAGGACTGCCTGAGTCTGAGCACCTAGAACCCTGAGCAACTCAACTCTGAGATTCTTTGGTAAGGTCTGTACAGGTTTGATGGGTTCCTATGAGAATAACTCTTATTTTTTATAGTTATATTACACATTCCTAATCCACCTGCCACTGTGTACATGGTAGGGTGTGGGCAGGGTGACACGACCTGTTTGACACCCTACCAGTTTTTGAAATAGTCAGCTTGTCCACCAGGTCTGCTTATACCTGTGGTTCCCACGTGTGTTCCCAATGTCTTTCAGTTGATCTTTGGAGATTCCACCTCTCCTTAGACCACTACATGTGTTTTGAGGTCATCACTGGAATGGAGGCTCCAGGAGAGCTGCTATTCTGAGTTCCCTTGTAAGTCAGGCAGGAGTTGTTTCAAATAAAGCACTCTGAGCCAAGATATGCTAATGAACTAGACACATTAGATATAGTGATTTTTAAGTAAAATTGTCAGCTGTTAGTGCAAGTATTGGCTGCCCTTATAAAATATTCAAGGATTTCTAAGTGTATCTGTCTTTACTCTCCATTGAAACAGGAATCCATCAGATTGGAGGTTTTTTTATATAAATAAAATCTTGGAGGATTATGTGTTGAATGTTGCAAAACACTTCAACTAGCTCTGCTTTTCTTTTCCGCTTGCATAACTCTCCTTCACTCAAGAAGACTTAGGAAACGCTGTACTTTGTTCTAGTTTGTGCTTTTGTTATTTTGGTGGGGAGGAGGGTTGGAATGAGTTAAGGAAAGAGAGAGAGCAGTTGCATGTATTTCTTCAAGCTTTTCTCGCATGATAGGTAAATACAAACAGCCTTTTACCCTTTTCCCTTAGATATAGACAGTCTGCCTCCAGCAGTGAAGCTCGTGGGTTCAGCACTTCTAAAGCCACTATTGCTATTCTTAAAGGGGCAAAAATAACCAGGTTGTGCCCCTACCACACATGGTTGAACATGGGGCAAAGAAGTCTTCCATTCTGCAGCCTGGCTGGGCTCACTGCAACAGAGACTGAAATACCCAGGGCAAGGGGGCAGAGGCAATATTAGAAATGATTACCTTATATTCCTTCAAAGGGTGAATTGTTGATGGATGTGATCATTTAAGAAAAAAGATAGGAAAACTCCCAACTTCACCACTAATCCAGCAAGTTTTTGTCAAACTTTGTTAGAGGCATGCTTTTACTGTGTCCTGAGCTTTTAACTAAGCCTTCAGATCCCCTGGACTCATACACACCAAAATCGCTGTCTTCGTATAACACTGCGTGCTAGTTGCTTTTTCAAAATATCTTCACACTAAAAAGAGTTCAACAAAGAGTTCAGCCACCCGGTTGACAATTCATGTTATTATTGCAGAAAAAAAGCAAAGGCAATTTGGCGATGTGTTAGAAACAAGATACACCTTCTCATCTGTCTTTCAGTGGAACTTCCCATTGGTTATGTTTGTCTGGAAGATCGGCCCTGCCCTTTGTTGTGGAAACACAGTGGTTGTCAAACCAGCAGAACAAACTCCACTGAGTGCCCTTTACATGGGATCCTTAATTAAAGAGGTAAGTCGGTAACAGCCGAGTTTTTGCACTTCTCAGAAATGTAAGAGAATACCTTGGCTGAAATGCCACAAAGGTAATATAAGCCTGGCTGCCCTGTGCAAGTACTTCACATTGCGTGTCTAGCCTTGCACCGTGGAACTCGCCTTACTGTAAAGCAGTGAAGCAAAACCAGAGCAAAAGCATGGGTATTTTTCAGCCTAGTCCCAACAGAAAAAAAAAAAACAAACAAAAAAAAAACACAATAACAGTTTAGTAAGCTCCATTCCTTGGCAAACTTATGTGTATTACAAAAGTACCATACCTTTTAAAGTCAAAAGCAAACAAGGACTCAACAAAAGGGTTTTTAGAGATGGGTGGCAGCGACTTTATTAGTATAGTTGGGACTAGTATAGAAAGGGACTTGTTTGTACATCTAATTATTATTATTATTATGGTAACTGAACAGACATTTCATCCTTATGAGTTAATGATTAGCAGAGCTCTAAAACTAAACTGCTCTGCTGTTGCCAGTCTCATGAAATCCCTTAAACTATGCAGCTGCTGCCAAACTCATGACCTCCCTTCACACAGGATCTGGGAGAAATACACACCTCGTGCTTCTGACTGCAGGGAGGAAGGTACTTTCCCCATGGCTCCAAAGCAATCTTGATTATTGTGCCCAGCCCACCAAACAACCAGAGAATATCAGTGAAATAATTTATCTAGCCTGCCTCCCAAAAACGTCAATAAACAAAAGTTCCTGTGTTTGAGGAGTTGGTGTGAATGTCAATAACTGCAAGCTCGGTGACCTTCCAAAGTGCTAATGGCAATGACTTAGCACATTTCTGCATGCTGAAATCCTCCCAAGCAGTGATTCCCCAGGGAGAACTGACTGACTGCACCCTGGTAGTTGGCACAAAGTAAGGGAGATGAAATGAGTTTTATGAAGAAATAAGATCCTGCTGTTAATGAATTACACATGAGTTGTTAGAAAATATTGAGGAGGAAGGGATGGCTTTTAAAAATATTCAGAGCTATCTGAATATGGGCAAATAATTTTAACCAGTATAAAAAGTTTATTTCTGCAGAAAAGCAAATTTACATGGAAGATGATTACTCAGGTCTGTCATGAGTCTCATATAACTGCCTGAAAGGAGTGCTACTAACTGTGAATGTAGTCAAGATTGCATTCAGACTGAGGATTTTAGACAGTGATAATGACTGGTGTGACACTACAGCAAAAGATAAGAGATAATCCATATTTTTCCTCTTCAGTGGTCAGCTGAATGAGAAATTTAAATATATCAGTGTTAAATGTCTTTAGTAGAATATCTAGCAAACTTTGTGCGACTTTAATTAAAAACAAATATTTAGCTCATCAGTTGACTTAAGATTTATTTACCAAAATCTAGCTGAGTTTTTGTTTACATCTGAATTATGCAAATACAGTGGGAGCCTAAATCCTTGCTAGAGATCAAAAATCTAATGATCACCTCAGTAGGTTTTTTTAGAGTTCCGTTGAAACTAACTGGTGAGCTAATTTAATTTTATACTTCCAAAGTTTCTGGATGAGAAAATAAATATAGTCATGGCTGGTAATCCATAGTATCCTTGTTAGCAGACCTGTGAAACTCCTTTGATATAGATAATAGTTTTTTCTACTAACACAGAAAACAAATGTCTAAACTGAGTAGGTGTGACTTTTTCCCACCTCTCCCCTCCATACACACTGCATGGAGGATATCTTCGTCATTTTTCTCAAGAAACTATTTGTCCAGATTAGACAAAGTACACTGCTAAGGAAATGCAAAGAAATTAATTGTTTCATCAATTCTGGGTAATTATTGATCTGAACTATTAAACGAGCATAAAACGACAGATGGAGTGAATCAGAGCATAAACCTCTGAGCAACTACAGTTGCTAGAACAGAATATCCATAATACAGGATATTATCTCTGAAATATATATATATTTATAATTCATTCAGTGATAATATAGGAGATATGTATTTTTGGCCCTGTAACTCTGTGCCGGCTCTCCTCCTAAGTGTCATAAGATCCTACAGATGCTTTATAACTGGGGAGATAATCCAGCTGCACTTCACATATTCAGGAGAATTTGGGATAATAGAAGAAAAATAGCTTATTTTTGTCTATGAATGGAGCATATCTAATCCAGAATTATTAGGAAACCATGGGTTTTATTTGTCCCATAGGAAGAGCATCTTTAAAAAGAAACTTTGCAAGTTACTAGAGGTGCAAATATGCCAGGTAACCACCCTTTCCATCAGTGTTAGTCAGATCTGTCTTCTTTTGTACTGTTAGTTGTCATGCTGCACATTTCAAACAAATTCCGTAAGTGGAAACATAGCCATTTAATTTGGAATTCTACTTCCATCATTTTTCATAATATAATTTCAGATTCATATTATTAATAGAATTAATAATCATTAATTAAATAATCTAATCTCTTACTAAAAAAATAAGTATCATCTAACTTGAAGAACAATGATCAGAAGTCAACAGGCAAATAGAATGATTTGAACAGTTTTAAGGAACAGACAGGAAACTAAATAATCTTTTTCTTTACACATCAGACTGAAGGAGAAAAGAAAAAAAAATGTGCTTGTCGGCCCTGGAAATGGCACTGAAAAAAAAATAGAAAGTTCATTTTAAAAGGCAAATTCGATGGCCTAAAAAATAAGGGTGGCAAAAAAAAATATGAAAAATGTTTTGGATGCTATAGTTGAGACTAACTTTATGTTGGGAACAAGATCATTGGAGAAATGAAAAGAGAAATAAGACAGTATGAGACATTTTTACAATCATTATTACTTCCTCAACTTCATGGTTTTCTCTTTTTCCATTCAGGCTGGATTTCCACCTGGAGTTGTGAACATTGTGCCAGGCTTTGGACCCACTGCAGGAGCAGCGATTTCTCATCACATGGATGTAGACAAAGTGGCTTTCACAGGCTCTACAGAGGTATTATAATGAACGCAAGAAAGCCTAAGCAGGAACTCTGCCCCTCTGATTCTCAGTAATGATTTAATGTCTAACTTGTTCTGTGTAACTATTTTAACTTTTTTCTTTAGTTGGCTGCTGGTTTGTTAAACAAAGTCTGTTTAATGATTTGTTGGTTATTACTAACTTCAAATATATTTAAACAATGTTTGTATTGCAGGAAAGTCCTTCAGACAAAAGCACTCCATAAGATACAACTGATTCTAGTACACCAATGTTATTTTAAGTTTTGTCTTTTAAAAAAGAAAACATTTTCCTAATTTTTTCAGTTTTCTTCTCATATAAAAATGGTTATTTTTACAAATGTAAAAGTGAAACAAGTTATGCTCTATTCAAATTTAATAAAAACATGATGGCAGGTACTTCCAGAAATCTAATTTCTAATCCTAGTTAGATTATGACATTCGATATTTGAATAACACTGATTTTCATTTTCATGGCCTTGGAAGTGTATTTCAATCTGTATGAGCTTAACGTAAAGGAGGGTCGCTGCTAATTTTTCCTACCCTTCTTTTTAAAGAGCATGATTCATAGGATTAAATATTTCTCGATGTAGACATTATATAACTATACACTATTCACTTAATGCAGAGCATTATTCTATACTGCATGCATGCTATGTAGAAGAGTTGCCAGCTGGTCTGGATATAGACTCTAAAGATAAATACTACTGCTTCATGCCAAGGATCAGTACACACGGAGTGCAAGTTATATTTATTCTCAGAAACCCTCTTTGCTAAAGTTGTGGGAAAAGAAAACAACTCAAAAGTGTAAGCACTGAGAAATATAGCACAAGTTTTCCCAATATACATCAACAGCTAAAATCCATAGTGCTCCCAAGGAATCTCATTACCTCCAATGGCATATGGAAGAGCCAAGGAATATCTGGAGACTGTGTTGACAACTCTCTCCATCTGACTGAGCAATATAGCTGCCAGAAAAGAAGGAGAGGTGTCCCCAAAACCTGGAAGGCAAGCACAGGGAAGAAACTATGGGAATTTTGATACACACTGGTCACGGCAGAAGTGAGCACACTTACCCCTCATAAGTGAAGTACATATTGTGTTTATTCCAGGACAATGAATAGCAAAAGGTTCTTTTAATTATATCATCAGTGCAAAGAAACAGGAGAGTTGCCCAGGTCTTCCCCTTTCCTTTAGATCTCTCAGACCTCTTTTTCGGTGATGAGGGAAAAAGAGTAGGTCATGCAGGCAGTGTATCTCTATTTTCTCTCATGCACTTTGTGGATCAAAGGGTTTAGCCAAGAGAAACGTCATAAAGAAACGTCAACCTAATGGAAGAAATTTACAGAGCAAAAAAGTGTCTAGATTACAGATGTGGGAAAATAGAGTAGTGGTACCAAACAAACACCAAATATCTTTTAGTACGAGAATGTCCAAAGGAAAATTGTGTTAGGAAGCACTCCTGGCTTGTGATTGGCATCCTGGCTCCTCACTTCCAAATTTACTCTCTCTTATGTTTGTTTGTTTGGTTGGTTTGGTTTGTTTCTAAGGTTACTGCAACAGTGGACAATTGCAAACCATGAGGAATTCAGAAAATTATTCTCTGATGTCATAATAAATTTCTGATATGAAATTGTCCTGTCTTTTAGGTTGGCAAGCTAATCAAAGAAGCAGCAGGAAAGACTAATCTGAAGAGAGTTACGCTGGAACTTGGAGGGAAAAGTCCTGTGGTGATATTTGCGGATGCAGACTGTTAGTAGTGTTTTTATTTTATAAACTGAATATATTTGCAAGTCCTACATTTTTTTTTATGTGTTGAAAAATAGTCTTTATATGACTAAAATGGGGGTAATCATTTCTTTTCTAGTAACACTACTTATTTTTAACTTAGATTACCAATAGACATAGGTAGCCCAGTGAGTCATGGGAACTCCTAACAGTATGGCAGTACTCACTGTAATTATTTATCATTCCAATTCAGTGTGAAGTTAGGAAAAAAAAAAGATGGATATTATATAGGTATATTAACTTTCTAGCTGAATATTCCTTTTAATACTGTTGATAGAGCAAATAATGTTGAATCAGTATTTTATGTTATTGTGAGCTATTCTTCATGAGAGTAACTTTGCACATTAGTAAAAAGATGAATATTTGTGTTTTAAAGGGCCAAAAAGGGAAATAGAGTGGCATCACAGAGGGTGATTGATCTTACCAGCATATACAAATATCTTAAGGGAGAGTGTCAGGAGGATGGGGCCAAACTCTTTTCAGGGGTGACTAGCAACAGACAAGTTCACAAGAGGACAAGTTCACAAACTGAAACACAGAAAATTCTATTGAAATTTGACTGTAAGTGTGACTGAGCACTGGAACAGGTTGCCTAGAGTGGCTGTCTTCTTCTCTAGAGATATTCCAAATGGCCTGGGTGCAATCCTATGCAATGTGCTCTGGGTGACCCTGCTTGTGCAGGAGGTTTGGACTAAATGATCTTTCCATGTCCCTTCCAACCTTAACCGTTCTGTGATTCTGTGGTAAAGAACTTGCGATATGAACATTCAAGCTTATGATAAACTCTATTTCTTTGCAGTGGATGCCGCTGTGGAGATTGCACACATTGGTCTGTTCTACCACCAGGGTCAGTGCTGTATTGCAGCGTCTAGGGTTTTTGTGGAAGAGCCTATTTACGATGAGTTTGTTCGCCGAAGCATTGAACGAGCAAAGAAGTACACCCTTGGGAATCCTCTGTTGCCTGGGGTACAGCAAGGCCCTCAAGTAAGTTATCTATCTTACCTGTTCCTAACAAAATTTGAATAAGACATCACAGTTTAGTTGACTTATAAATTTGCTTTTGTAGTAGTGTTATGGCTAAGTACGATTGTATAGTGGTTAGCCTGGAGGACCAAAAGGAAAAAAGAGTTCTAGTCATTATTGCCACCATCACAGGCCTACTCTTTTACAGTTCATAGCCATATAGCCATCATAGACCATCCTCTTTTATAGTTCTCTTTTTTTATGGGGACAATAGTACAGAACTTAAAACACCTTGAGAAGGCACAGCTATCACAAGTGAAAAAGTGCAAGTTCAATTACCTGTATCAGTGTTTGCTAAAGATATTATATTCAAATAGTACCACTGTAAGTGGGCAACTTGAAGAAATTAAAGCTGGTAGTGTCTATTCCCCTTTTCCAAGGTGCTAAATTTTCTGCTTATGGGACTCTCAATTTTAGAGTATTACAAAATTTGCACTCATCATTTTGTATTTTTTGCTGTCTCTGTTAAAACATTATGCCAAGAGCTACACCATTAAATGAATGTAAGTATGCAGCATTAGAAAGCATTCCTATCACAGGTCCGTGGATTACATCTTTTTTTTTAATTAGTTTTTATTTATAGTCTTATTCATATATCAGTTTGTATTACAGGATGTACATTTTCTTGGCAGAATTATTATGTACTCATTTGACCCTTATAGAACAAAGGATCTGTATCAGAGAGTAAGCAAAAGCTGGAAAGGGGGAAAAACTCTGAAAAAATCTTTTTTTTTCCGTAGCAAGGTACTTTTGTCTCCACTCATCTTCCAATCCGATTTTAGTGGCCAATTGTAACCACGCAGTTTAGATTCACTTCTGCGGTAATTATTGTAAATACATCTCCTTGTCTTTAACTCCCCTGCGCTTTACCTACTTCTATCCTGAGTCAGGTGTATCACTGCATCCTCTTGCCATAGAGTCCCCTCAAAATCCATACTTTCCCTCTCTGAAACATGCAACACCTACCTTTGTATCATGTTGTGCAGTGGGCACCGAGGGAGAGCCAAAGGTCTTGTTGGAATTAACAGAAACAATATATATATGTGAATGCACACATTATTAAGAAAATAATGGCAATAATAACAACAATGAGGAAGTTGACAATAAAATGAGCTGTATCATCTGGATGTTTTCTTTTCTCCACGATGTTTATGGACAAGAGGTCACCAGGGTAGCAGAAATTTAAGTCTTCAGTGTGCAATGAGGCAATTGTTTGAAAGCATAATGACAAAGGGAGTGCAGGGAACTAAGACTCACATTCTCATAAATATCTTTAAAATATATTTTTTATGACTACAGTACTACTTGCTCCTTATGCTGAAATGGCAAAAGACAGTAAGATGCACATGATCCATTGCTGAATGTTGTAGCAGGGAAGCAGCTTCTGTGCAAGAGCAACTGTTGAGCTAGAAGTAATCTCAACAGTCTTCATGAGCCAGTGCTTGAAGTGTTGAACTTGGGATGAATAAGTAAAGAACAATGAAATTGTGAAAATGACCTCTAACAAGCAAGATTTATCATTGTTTTTTTCTCTTGAAATAAATGTTACCTTGTACAAAATTCCCTGTGTGCATAAAGCAATGAAGCGCTGATGTGAAGAGGGGAGGAGAGGAAAGGAAAAGTGCTGAATTTCTACGTCCAGTTTAGAACTTTCCAGGGAGTTATAGCAATTTTTCCAGTTATCTCTTTTCCAGAAAGGGATTGGAGGAATGCAAGACTTTTTGTATGACCACCTTAAACTCCTTTCCCACGTAAACACCAAATGTTCTGCTATAACACAGAGCCAAAATGAAAATGGCATAAGTTGTATTTGTCAGTGAGGGACAGGAGTTGGCTTCCACCAATAAGCAATCTTCCATCTATGTTTTTCAGGCTCAAATGTATGAATCTTTATTCTGCTAACATGTTGAATGAACTGGAAGAAGAAAAGAATTTGAGTTATATTATGTCATTGTTGCTTTTTAACTTTCTTTAAACAGTTTAGGAAACCAACAGGGTCAATGTATTGGCCCTAGAGAAGTGTGGAAGAATCCTACTGGCTGCATCAAGCTCTCTGTTATAACCAGAGAATCAAAACTAGCAATGCTCATTTTAATGAAGAATTTGTAGTTAGCATAAGTAATTAAGATGATTTGCCCTTGCCCTTTCCCTTTCCCTTCCCCTTCCACTTTCCCCTTCCCCCTTCCCTTCCTTTTTTTTGTCATTCTTTTTTCCTTTTTTGTCTTTCTTTTTCTTTTCTTTTCTTCTTCCCCCCTTTTTTTCTCTTTCCTCTCCCCCCGCCCCTTTTTTTCCTTTCTCCTCTATTTCTTTTTTAGAGAAAACAGGATATCAGAAGAGCTGATTCTTTTATGCTTGAATTTCTGACTACTGAACCACCATAAAAAAAAAAGAAAAAAAAAGAAAAAGCTTCTAAAGTTTTGGAAGTTAAGGCAGCAATGCTTTTATGGCTCTCCAGCTGTTTCACTTAAACCATATAATTGAACAAAGCTAGAACATTGTTACAGTGCAGCTAATAGTTTTGAAAATAGATGTTACCAGTGTACGCTTCATCTCTGCAATATCTTTTCTTTTAGATTGATAACGAACAGTTTCAAAAAATCCTGGAACTAATTGAGAGTGGGAAAAAGGAAGGAGCCAAACTGGAATGTGGAGGAGGACCATGGGGAGACAAAGGTTACTTCATCCAGCCCACAGTGTTTTCTAATGTAACGGATGATATGCGCATTGCCAAAGAGGAGGTAAATAAATTCCTGGTAGTTTGTGCTTCCACTGAGATTGTCTGTTTAAAGGATTGTACAAGCTATCCATTTAGAAGGTCAAGAGGCTACAGAAAAATGTTCCCCATAAATCTGTCGTTCTAGCCTGTTGCAGTTTAAAAGCCCTTTTTTGATTTCTTGAGCAGCAACGTGGAGGTGAGGGAGAGGCGAAGGAGAGTGGCCTGCCAACAAAGGCTCCAGCTTAAGCTGATAGGAGATAAGAAATATTAAGGTTGGGACTACATCTCTCATACCAGAGCCATGGTAACATGTAAGAAAGAAACAAACCTTGAAAGGAAAACTTGGAAATTCATTGTCTCCCATACGGATCGATGCTCATGGGGGTTTTGACACAGCTCTGCAGTAAGAAGGTGTGATGAGAACAGAGTTTAACTGTGCCTCCACAAATGTTTTGCTTGGTGGCAATGACAACAAAGCACAGTTTTACCTCCACAGACATTTTTTTTTTCAGCAGTTTACAGATGCACCCACCCAATGCTGAAGGAACCTTCACTAAGGGCACAATGCTCAGGCAGCAATCCTCAGCTGGAAGGGAAGAGAGAGGGTTAGGAGTGCAGAGCTGCTTTCCTTGAGAAAATTAATAATGCAGACAGAACCTCAAAGAACAATCCTGGCTACTGGCTTCCTCCCTCTATCTCTCCCTTTTTTTTTTTTTTAACATTCATTTACCTTAATTTCAGTGTCTGCAATCGTTCTGTAATTGATGTCCATTAGGCTTCCACATACTAGATGGATATAGTACAAAGTCAGGTTGCACAGAGATATGTTTCTTCACAGATTTATTAGCTTCCTGTGCGTCAGCAGTATCATGACTGCTCCTCTAATGCTATTTCAAATCTATTGAATAATGAAACTATGGTTTCATTCATGAATTCAGGTTCTACCAATCACATGTTGACCTATGGAACTATGTTCAGTAGTTTCTAATTTATATAAATTAAATCCTGCAACTATAGTCAGAAACCTATTTCTAGTAATATCATACAGAAAGTTGCTATGGTTTGTACCCGAAGGAACCTCACTTGATGTGTCAGTTGCCACCGTCCGCCCCTCATACTAGCACTGTCTGGTAGCACTGACATTTCTAACTGAAAGCATAGGATGAGGTAGCAAGAAAGCTGATTCTGAATGAGCATTTTCCTGTTTAGTACTTAACACCCAGAAGGAAACCATGATTGCTTTTTTACTTGGTGTATGTATCTGGTTGTGCAGTAACTTGCAGTGATAACAACTCTAATAAAAAGTTTATGAAAATGAGATACTTTTTCAATTAACTGTAGTTTAGAGAAGATACTCTGATTATTCTCTTCCAAGAAGCATAAACATAACTAAACAAAGGTAGAAATTAGGCCTATCTGAAAAAATAAATAAATATAAATTATTCAAAATAGTGAACTAATATTCATAATATTAATAATGATACTAATCCGCTTCTGAAACAGATATTTGGACCTGTTCAGCAAATCATGAAGTTTAAAACTGTAGATGAAGTTATCAGGAGGGCAAACAACACTACCTATGGCTTAGCAGCAGCAGTGTTTACCAAAGATGTCGATAAAGCACTGACATTTACATCTGCTCTTCAGGCTGGAACAGTATGGTAAGTAATGACTTAATTCTTCCTCCTTCAGATCTACAATAATTGGCAGAGATAGCTGTTTATACATCAATTCTTGGTCATATTCAAAAAAGTAGATTAATGTCATCCTCCTCTGTTTCTCGTCCTTTCCACATTTAATTTGATATAAAATAAATATTTCCTGCAAGTCTTCACATGATTCTCCTGTAAAATCATTCTGAGAAGTGAAAAGGACTTCCTTTAAAGAAAAGAAAGAAAAGGGAATCCAGTGAGGCTTTGTTTTCCACTTAGGATCATGGGAGTGCCCAGCACACTTTGAAGGGCTCACTTTTGTCCTACATAAAGAGAACCATTCTTTGAAAATCTTTGGCCATTAGCCTGGGCAAAATATCCTCCTGTGGTTAAAATGATAATTGGTAAATTGTGTCAGCAAGAAGTGTGGAACAAAAAATGGGAGTAGACCAGGCACAAGGCAGCAGGAGCAGATGCAGGGTAGGTACATGAGGCAGGAGAAGGAGTCAAAGAAGCTGCCAAAAGGCACTGGAGCAGAAAGAGGCTCCTCTCCTGCAGGGAGTCAGGAGGTGAAAGGCAGGGAGAAGCAAGAGTGAAAGCTCTGAGGAAGAGCAGACTGTGTGTCATGGATATTCCTGGCAAGAAGACCTGTATTTCCGTACACATATCATCGTGCATCAGACAGAGAACAGATGGTTTTACTTGAACCCCAAATGTGTCTCCCTTTTATATTAGATCTCAAGGAACTTGAAGCCAGCACAAATTCCTGCCCACTCGTGTGACCTAAGCAAACACGCTTTCTAAATCTCAGTTAATATTTTAACTCCTCTGTTGGTATTCTTTAATAAAGAAGAAGGTTTGAAAGAAAAATAAAAGTTTTATTTTTTAGTTTTATGTTAAAGCTAATCTACCTAGAAATCTTCAGCTACTGGAAAGACCTCTTTGCTGAAACTAGTAGAGTGATGAGAGTGGAAGAAAGTGTAAGATGTGAAAACAGAGAATCACTTATTTCCCTATGTTGCAAAACAGAAAAACCTTTTCAGCTAGTAAACAGAATGCTTATTCCAATAAAACTCTCCATAGAAATTTTCGGTCTGAAATTCCTTTAACAACAAGCCTACATGTTAATTTATTCCTGTCCTCAACAAAAATATAGAATATTTAAGCCACCGAACAGCATTGAATAAAATTCCCTAAATATGGATTGAAATAATCCTGAATTTACTTATTGGAAGCACATCTGCAGAAGACTACGATTACTCTTTGGTTTGAAAGCTGATGCAGTAGCTAGGAAGACTTACCACAATTATCAGCAGAAAGATTAAATTGTCACTATGTTTGAAAACCCTTGATCAATAGTAACACCTGCTCATATCTAGTAGTAGAATATCTGATGATATTTTGTTCCTCTTAAGCTTGATCTACATGTATTTTTGAAATATGTATAGTCATATGTAGTTTTTGAATATCACCATAGGTGATACAATCAAAGGAATACTGTTTTTTTTTAAGCAGAAAATCATTTTCCTGTTCTTCCAGGGTTAATTGCTATAGTGCATTTTCTTCTCAATGTCCTTTTGGAGGATTTAAGATGTCCGGAAATGGACGAGAAATGTAAGTAAATACTTTTCTAAGTGTAGATTTACAAGAACTGCAACATGAAATTCCAGATTCCACTACTAATATTCATGAGCAGGATGCCCAGTTTGAGATCTTGTCTGGGTTATTAGTAACAATGACAAGGAGTAAGACTCTATAACAGCAGTAAGAAAATTATTTGCAGGCACGCATCCTTTCAAAATAACAGTTTTTAGTAGTTTGCATATGTATGTAAAATTGATCATTATGTTTATGCTGTGCAGGTTTTCAAATATATATAAAGAAAGTGTATTTTGCATGAAAGTGTATATGCAGTCATGCATGATTTGTCAAATCACCTGTAAGTGCTCAGTTTTTGAAATCATAAGACGTTCTTGCTCCAGTTTCAAAATAGTAGATTTAGAAAATAGTTAGTAGGTTGGTAGAGTTGCTACAACAATGCTTTAGCAATACCGTCTACCTTGGTTGGAAGTTATGACACAAATAGTCCTTTGAGTCCTTAAGCCTTTGGCCTTTTCTCAAATGAATAGTACAGAAGTATACACACATGAATAGTAAACAAATTATTTTGAATACCTAAGATTTAATCCAATTTCAATTTGAATCATGTCTTGTTTTATCTACATTAATTCTGATCTTTGTGTTAGCAAGCAGATCAAGTAATGTGTTATATAATGAAACATTGGAGATGTTATTTGTTTGTTACATAGCATTATGTCTTCTTGGTCTTTGGGTTTTTTTTGGTTCTTGTTTTTTTGGGAGCATAAATCACAAGCAGACTTTTACTAAAGACTGTCAAATTAGTGAAAGTAGCTACTAAATTATTTTTACAGAAAAGAATACATATCTAAACTTTCCCTTTTGTTAATTCAAATGCAAAGAAATTTTATTGAATTCTGAATGTAGTTCAATAATACATGTGGAGGTGTAACACATGTGAGCTTTTTCTCATTTCTCTCTTTCTTTTTTTTTTTTTTCTTTCTTTCTTTTTGAGAGAGAGAAAAGGCTAGGTTTTTCATGCTTGCCCATCACTGGACTCAATCTGCTCTTGGTGGCAATGTTCCCAGTGACATCAAAGGAAATAGAGTTATGCCAATGCTGAGGGCTTACAAAATGCCAGCATGAAAAAAGAAAAAGAAAGAAAGAAAGAAGTATATAATAATAATTAAGGTCATTACTATCAAGGACTGTTTTGCATTTGCTGAATGCCCAAAATTAGGAGATTATCAATTCTGAATTACTATCTTTTGCAGAAATACTTTTTGGATTTAGCTGCTGGAAATAACAAGAAAAAAAAATAGTATCATAATGATTAATATGGTCTACAACAATGCATTTTAAAGAAGTCAGACTTTCATGTATATGGTTTTTTTCTGATGTTTGGTGTATAATCACAAGTAGTGAACCAACAACAACAACAAAAAAAAGGAGTAGAAGAAATAACTGTGAAGCAATTACTTTGTAATAATCTGTAAGCCACTGTATCAAGGCATATCTAGAACTCCCTTAAATCCCAGAAGAAAACTCCCTAAATAATTCCTGGAATGATAATATCATTGTGAAGTAAACTTCTGAATGTTACCTATTAATAGTAAGCCTCTTCAAAACAGTATGAGAAGGAGATCATTAAACATTTTCCCACACCAGGCAGTCCTGAGAATAGATTTCTGTTTTGCATACCTATGTACTTAGTCAGATGACTGAGGGAATTGGGTAGCATTATACTGTAGCAACATATTGTTCTATATAAGAATCACTTATGTAATTTTTATGACCACATCACATACAAAACAATCACACAAGCAATTCCATCTTTTGAAGGTGGAGTCGTGCTAATTACATATAAGAGTTAAGATTTTTTTTACCATCTAAGAGATAATATAGTGGATTAATTATGACTCTTCATTTACTTGAGATAAACACCTGTTCTCTATCAGAAAACTGACAGTTGAGGAAGACCTTTGTAAAGGATTTGTTGAATGTAATTGTGGAGACTTGGTATGTCCTGGATTTGGTGGTCAGAAGCCCAATTTAGAAATGCACTAAATTGGTTAAACAGCATTCTTCTACATAGAAATGAAATTGCTCTCCCACTTTTCATGGGAAACAATTGCCGTTTCAAAAATCAACCAGCATCAATCTGACTATACAGACAACCTCAGAATATGCCTACATCTGGTCAGTTGTAGAGCACCACAGAAAATTCCATCCAGGACATAACTCATATAAAAAGCATTAGTCTAAGCGCTGTATTTGTTTCTCTTTTATCTAGGGGAGAATATTGCCTTCATGAATATACAGAAGTTAAGACTGTCACCATCAAAATCCCACAGAAAAACTCGTAAAGCTGTGCAAGGTGTTGAATTTAGCTCCTACAAATGCTAAATGACTCTGCAAATACCACCTGAATTCTGAGAAGTTTAATTCAAATTATTCATTAACTTTTTTGCTTTATGATTGTATAAGATATTTGCTTATATTAAAACAATATAAACAGTAATGTAGAAAATCAAAATATGATTAGCTGAGAGAGGACAAACTCAGTGTCTGGAACATGGCTAACTTTTTGAAACTCATATTAAAAAAGGGTTTTTTAATTATTATTTTCCTTGGAAGTTATCTGTAGTGCTACAAAAATGTCCCTTTTTCAGTACACTGTACATGTACAGCTTGATTTTGTGTGCTCTTTTGAATGATAGATGGAAAGCTTCTCTTTGCATTTTCTTTTCTTGTGGCCTTAACGAAAGCACTTACAAGCAACTAGCAGATAGATACTTTTCTGTGTCTTCAGAAAATCATAGATTTCTCCTAGGTGTATTTCTTAGAATGTTGAATGTATTCATCATATTAAGTACTACACAAATATAACCTGGATGATATTAAACAATATTAAAATTCACCTTAAAAACTCATATTGTTTCTTTTCTTAGCCTTCTCTATTGAACTGGTTTACTACTGGGTACAGTGTAGCACGTATTTTATACTCTCAAAGGGGCACTACTGTCTCCATAGTGTGTTTTGGTCATCAGAAGTATATTGTATTGCCTATAGGAGACTAAAATCCCTAATTTTTTGCCAGTATTTTAAATGGAAAAATATGAACGCAAACAAAGAACGCCCATCCATTTGCCAAGAGCCAGGACTGAGCTTTGTAATGATAAGTATATCATAAAGTCTTAATGATGACAAACGAGAAATAGAAGTGTGGCAGTGAAAGGAGGGAAGTGAAGGGGAGGGAAGGTACTCCTTTCTGATTTATAGTGTCTCAATTTTCCCTGTGTTCATATGCCTGCATGTCACTAATATGTACTCCTTAGTCCTTCCTCTCCTCCTTCTCCTCTTCCTCCTCTCAGTCCACTTGTTTCATTTGACCCTCTTCCTTCAGCATCACTTCTGCTCGGTCACTCTTATGGAGACCCTCTCCAGATATACATGTGTCAAGAGGACAGTAACTCTTTAAAATCCCTCCATCTGCGCAGCTCCTGTATTTTCATTATTCCTCTCCAAAGGCAGATTGCCATCAGCAACCACTGGATAATTTCTGGGGGAGTGGTGTCCAGGCACCAAATAAACCAGGCACCACTGCCAACAGAGTCATATTTTTTCTAAAATTCACTGAAGTACAGAGCCACAACTCATGGAAGTATGTAGGTACATTAACTCTACATTTTAATGCATAGCATTGAAAGGAAGATTTTGTTCATTTGGCATACATACTGTCAGTTTTTTTTTTTTTTTAAGGAGATTACAACAAAACTCATATCAGGTTTTCATACCATGCCTCTTCTCTGCATATAAACAAGTTTTCTCTTTATGGAAGTTAAGAACTAGACATAGACCTTATGGCAGAGACCTCATCCCTTTGCAGGCATCCATATCATCAGAATTTAAGAGGTGACTCTTCCAAATCCCCCTGATTTGGCCTCCAAATGATTTCATAGCCATAGCTAGCAAACAAACCCAGTCCTCATCCTATGTCAAGAAATGTAACAAAGTCATAAAAGAGAGAAAAGAAGGAAGGCTGAATCAAAAATAGAAATGCTCTGGGTAATGTTTAGCATAGTTTATTCTAAAGACGAAAGTGTGCAGAAGAAATCACAGAAAACAAAATAATTACCAAAAAAAAAAAAAACTGAAATAATAAGCTGTAAAAAAGAAGGAAAAAAAGCACAAAACAATTTGGAAGACTTTAAAAGCAGTAAAGGACAGTGCATTAGAGGAAATCTGGATACAATAAAAGATTAAACATTTAAAAGAAAATGCAAGGCAGTATGCAGAACAGGATTGGGGCTTTATAAATCTCTCATTCTCCTTCAAATTCTGCTCTTATTGTAGTCAAAAAGGAAGAGAAATAAGCCAAATTAGGGTAAGTATATGTTTGCATTATGGTTTGGATTAGGAGTGCACCTTTGAAGCGACTTTTCCAGTGGTCCCCACTTACTGAGCTTTGGTTCATATGATGACCAATCCTGGGACACAAACCACCTGCTCATTTTCAGTCCAGTGTCATCTTGACTGTGCATAGCATGGGCAGCAGGTCCTCACCATGCAGCTGGTCCTTCAAAAGCATAGGACTGCAATTCCAGCCCTCCTGGACTGTGCTACCTCCTACTATGAGCATAAACAAAGAGTGTCTTCAAATGTAACCCAAGGAATGGAGGCTGAAAAAAGTACATAAATGCAAGGGAATACAGGAAGGACTGACACTGTCCTGGTATATTTGTATGTGTTATTATTTGCAATGTCTGAAATACTTTTATACTGTAGAAGTCTGATGATGTTCTTGATTTGTCAGTTTAAATATTTTAATCTGATCTATAGTGTAACACCTGTTAGTGACTTTAAGTTCTCGTCTATACAATAATTTTGAGTTAGAGGAGTATGTCCAATGTGTACTATGAGCAAGAGATGGAGAGCAAGAGAAAGCAAAGGCTACCATTCAGATAAGGTGGAAAACACAGATATTTCAACAGAGTCAAGCACAACTTTGGTTTAAACTGATGACAAGGTGAAGTCATTCCCAAGAGAGGCCAATGTAAAGAGATATACCTTTTGTCTTCTGCTTTGTTTAAAGATCTTAATATGTGCCTGTTTGCCTAAAGTATTTCAGATGTGTTTGAAGGAGGCACGCCAAAGTTTCAATAAATGAGCCTAGCTCATTTTGTCTAACAAGAGCAACTCAGTTCACACTGTGGGACAAAGCATCCAACTAACTCAAAAGAATTTCAGAATGTAGCCACATTTTTTCCTCAACTGCTCAGTTACTAGCAGCATTGCAAGGCTGAACTTCTCTCACTAGTACATGCACTGTTGGTACTAACGCAATCTCCCACTGAATAAAAAAATTCTCAGAATTGATCCTTGCTAATGAGGTCTTTTACAATTAAAAGTGTTCTTAAGTTACTGCTGAAGACTTCATTTGTCTTCTGGAAGATCTTTCAAAATAACCTTGTAGCTATGTCCGCAGATTGGTTGTGATTATTTAGTTTGGACAGCTTTAAATGAGGATTTATACACTTCAAATATTACGAAGGTAATTAAGGAGGCCATTTCTTTCCGGGGTTGAATCACTGTCATGTTGCTCCTTTTATATGCCAAAGTAGCAGCAGCGAAATTTATTTACTAGGATGAAACATGAGAAGAGCAATAGTTGATCTCTGTGTAAACAGTGTTTATTATGTTAATGACATTGTGTTCAACATTTCACAGAGAATAAAAATTAACAAGGAAAGTGAAGTTGCTCCACTTGAAAGATGACTGCTATAGATAGCAGCAATCATAGACTATATGTTTTGTGTTTAGATTAAATTATGCTTCACCAAGACACAGTAAATTCCTAGCAGCATTGAATGTCCTTTCTACACCTTTAACATTATTGAATGCATACCTCTAACTTTGAATAAAAGCTTCACTGAGGAGATATTTTTGTGGAGTTTTGGGAAAGTTACCTTTTCAGGCTATTTTAGACAGAATGAAAAAAAAAGTTCTGGAAATTTGGAGTCCTTAATGCCAATGGCCTACCATTACCTAGGCTGTCCCTCCCCCACATGCATACTATTTTTTATAAAGAGAGGGAAAACTGTTGAATGGTAATAGCAAGAAATAGCCTGAGGGACCCTCAGGAATTCTCATTCTCTCTCAAGAAAGAAAATTACTGATAATCCCAAGATGCCAGATATCCGGGTCTTAAGACAGACAAGAGAAGATATGGAAAAAATATTCAGAGCAAGAAAGGCATCTGGCTTGGATAAGGAGTGAAAATTCCCTGATGAAGTAGGTTTTAGTGAGGAATTTGAAAGATGTGAGATCTTGGCAGAGAGAAGGGGCTGGGGGGAGAAAAGGGGGGTAGTCCATCTGTGACACAAAAGATAACACAAAAGACAAGTGAAGGAGAAGGAGGGAGAAAGGAAAGGAGCAAGAGCAGAAGTGAAAGGAGTGAGACCATGAATGAAAGCAAAGCTGAGGATAACCTTGACACTATAAGACCTGAGTTCACATTAAGGTCTTTAATAGATGACTTTCCCTCCCACCTCCATGTTTGCTGTCAGGTTATATTTGTCCTGCCTGATGGTTCCTTCTCCCTCTTCTCATTCAAGTTATACTCCAATTTTCTTGGAGTTAAGGTTGTCTTCCATCTGTCCATCTACTGGAAACTGATGTTTAAATAACTCCTTATTAGAAAAAGTCCTCCTTAAAATAAAGCAGCAGAAGCAGAGTCTCTGAAAATTAGGGAGTAATAGTTTTCTGTGAACTTAGTGGGAGGCCTCAACAACTCTTCTCAAGGACTGAATTATAACCTGTGCTATGCAGAGAGAAAAACAGTGGCTTGATGAATATACTGCTCTGGAAACAAAAGTTAAAGATCTAGGAGCACAACATAAACTAACTCAGTCAAATAAAATGCTGCATAGTCTTGTAGGGAGAACATAAATCACTTGCATTAAAAATTGAACAGGCATAAAGGTTCAATAAACAAAACTGAGTATTGGGAGTGTTGGCTGTTGAAATGCCAGCTTGTGAAAGAGTCTTAAAAGGGCAGCAACAAAGATGACTCACACACAGTAATAATAAACTGGTCAAGCAAGAAAAGACCATAGCTGCTTTTGCACATTACCAGCAGGCATTGCACAAAGTCTAGAGAGAAGTGTAAATCAAAAGTCAGGAAGATTGTCATAGCTAGAGATAGAGTAGTAGAACAAAACATTTCTGAAAAAAAATACTCTTATTAAGAGGATTTTAGATGCAAGCCCAGGGAGACTTGTTTATAATTTTAATTTACATTCCTTGTATTGCTTTTTATTAAAATGGAATGTAAGGTTATGACTGAATAATATTAGGTGTGCTTAATAGTTGTGAACAGTATGAACAGTTATGAATGCTCGGGACACCCAG